CGCCTGCCGCGCATTGGCAAGCTCCCATCACCGATGCTTATTAAGGCGCGGCACGCCCGTTCCCTTGCTGCCAGCGTCTGTACCACGGGCACCGACATTCAAGCCCCATCAGGCCCCGTCAAAACTGCCTACAACCATGCCCTTAAGGCGGCTATCCGCCCCAAGGGAAACAGGTGGGTCGAGTTTTGGACTCTCATGGCCGTGTGCGTCCCAGGACACGCCCTGGAGATTGACGCCATTACGCAGCGTGAAGTTTTCCTGTGTCTGCGGCGACAGGTTAACCGCGACGCTACTCTCTGCGGTCTCGTCAGGGATCTCCAACACCACGTTCAGACCCTATTTGGGGGAGGACCTGTCGGACGACTTGTCCAGACGCTTCAGCAGCTCCGTTGGACCTGGCCCACATTTGGCATCATGTACGACGACTGGGGCTGTCAGATCAGTTGGCTGAACTTACCCCAAAACGCCTTCCTTCACATGCTGCGAGCCTCACAACGCAGAGCCTTTCTGAGAAAGATCAAGCCACGGCGTCATGACCTTGGACACCTTGCCTCTGTCAGACAGGGCCTCGACCTCTTCGCCAGCACGTGGCTCGCCCGAACGAAAGGAGCAGCCAAATGCAATGCCTGGCAGCTGGCGCTCCTCCTGAACTACCTGTCGGGCGGGGACCACACCCAACAGCGACGATCCCGATCAAACACGTCTGCTGACCCCAGCCCCATCTGCCGATACTGCGACGAGGAAGAGGAAACTCAGGAGCACACTGTCCGCGACTGCAAGTGCTGGGCCCGAGAAAGATTCCCTCTCACCACCCTCATCAGTGACGAGCAGTGGGCCCGTCTTCCGCCGCACACAAGACACTGCGGGCTCTTCGATGAAGACCCAGCCCTCCTCGACCTGCAGGCCGACCTCGCGAGGGACCCGCTACCTCAGCCCATACCGCGGCCCCCACCTGAGGGAGATCCTGCGGCTTCAGCCCAGGACTCCTACACCACCTACCTTGACCACGACACTGGTTGGACATGGGTCTACGCTGCCACGGACGGTGCATGCACCAACCAAGCCATCCCATTGCTAGCACGAGCGGGCTACGGCGTCTACTACGGCATCGACCACCGCATGAACTACAGTGCACGCGTTCACGGCATTACGCAGAACGCACAGCTTGCGGAGACCCTCGCCATTGTCCACCTCACGGCATGTGCTGAACGGCCCGTACACGTTTTCGTGGACAACCAGGCGGTGGTCGATGGGTTCCAAAGTATCATCGACGGACACTCACCACCGCAGGGCACGCACGTGGAGCTCTGGGAAAAGATCCACCGATGCGTTATGGCCAAGCCCAACATGTTCCGCGTCGAGAAAATCGCAAGCCACCTGGGCGACATGGGCATCGACCTCGGGCTCATCGGGCCCATCGCGGAGGAGTTCAATCGTCAGGCTGACGCCCTCGCCACAACGGCGGCACGTACTCATAACCTTCCAGACGACATTGTCGAAGCTGCCAAAACACGACATCGCCAAGCGACCGTGCTTCATGGAGTCGCTGTCGCCATCTACGAGCGTAGACACCGTACACTCCCCCTCCCACACCGCAGGGCTGGGTTCACAGCTGCGGAACTCAACAAAATGGAACCAAATCCCCTGCTGTCTGACCAGGCACCACCCGCGGCTGGACCAGACATCCCACAGAACCCGGACGAGCTCTGGGCCGAGGCCCAACGGGCGATATTCGACGAACAGGAGGACGACCCTTTCGGCTTTGGTGGGGGCCTTGACTTCCTGGGCGACGGGCCAGCCAGCGCCAACCCTGCCCCGTCGGGCACCCGCACGGCGCCCTCGACTCCGCCATTGAGAGCGGCAGCGCACCCACATGACAACGCCGCTCACTTTCAAGACGCTGACGAACAGGAGGATGACCTGTTCAGCTTCGGTGGGGATCGGACGCTTTGGACGACGGACCAGCCAGCGAAAACCCTGCCCCGTCGGGCAACCTCTCGATCCCTACTGCGACTCCGTCCCCGAGAGCGACATCGCCCACATACGATGATATCGGCCACCGCCAAGACGCCGACCACGACCTGGGTGACCCCCGCGGACTGAGTGGCATAGAGGACGCACCGCCGATACCCCACGCTGCCGACCATGCCGCCCTACCGAGACGCCAACCTTCTACGCGACCGACCTCAGAGCCCTTGCACGGCATCATGATTGGTCCCACCGCGCAAACCACTCCGCCCCCCCACCGGCGGCAGCCCGCGGGGGCGGCTTCAGCCCCCCCGCAGGGCACTAAACCAGACAGGCCCTCGTGCCCCGTCCACGCTTCCATCGTTGCTGAGCGAGAGGAAGCGGCTCTCCCGACCTCTCGGGGCGTGGCCCTAGCGGCTCCAGCCCTGGGGTCGCGTGTGCCCCTCCAGTCACCCTTCAAGGGTGACGGACGACAGCGTACAGGGTGCCGCACTACGCTAGCCCACCATTTGGACAGGCGTACCGAGGACCTCGCCTCTGTCTCGAGGCTCTCGGCCGCTGGCCCTGAGCAGCCACCCCTCACCGACCGCGAAACCGAGCTGTCCCAGGCTATGGCTGCTCTCCAGCAGAGGTGCGTTGCTCTCGCCGCGGACCTCGCCGCCGCCCAAGCTCGCCAAGGCCCTCTACTCCAGCGCCTTCACAGCGCTGGGCGAGCCTTTGCCGAGCTGCTCACGGCCTCGCCCGATGGTGCCGTGCCGTCACTCACCATCCAAGCTATGCTGTCATCGTTCCGCGGCGCTCCACCTGGTGCCCCGCGCTAATCTCCTCCTTTCTGCCTGCCCGTGTGTACGCGTGGCTCCGCGTCCACGGTGTCAGGGCGTGGGGGCGGGGGGTGCCCCGTCACTGCGCGCCGCTTAGCGGCCAAGCGCCCAACTGGCGGTCTGCCAAGCCGCCTAGCCACGTGTCAGCACGTCGCCTTTCTTGTTGGGGCCTCTTTCTTTACGCGGTCTGACAGGTGAGATCATCATCGTCTGTCCGCCGTCTGTAGCGTCTGTCGCACTGCGCCGGGGGAGGGGTTTTTTGTTGCCCGCCCTCGTATCTAAAGGCTGCACCGCCGCAAATAGTGCATGCGAGTTGTCGCACCGCAGTGCGCCTCGCGGACGGACCCTGGTCCGCCTACTTGTCCGATCTCTCTCTCTCTCTCTCTCTCTCTCTCTCTCTCTCTCTCTCTCTCTCTCTCTCTCTCTCTCTCTCTCTCTCTCTCTTTCTCGCTCCCTCTTGTTCTCTCTCTTTCTCTATCTCTCTTTCTCTCTCTCTCTCGCTCTCTCTCTCTCTCTCTCTCTCTCTCTCTCTCTCTTTCCCTCTCTCTCTCTCTCTCTCTCTCTCCCTCTTTCTCTCTCCCTCTCTGTCGTTATGTCTCCGCCTTCTCCCGTCTTCCCTCTCCCCTCTGACGCCTCAATAGGGGTGGGGCCACCTATGATATTTCTAATGTTGGGCCCGACGCGCCTCTAATGCAAACCCATCAAACATGGGGCGACCCCAGACGTAGTCCGATCAATCAAGGCCTAACCCACCCCAGCAATATTGCTGTCACTGATGATTGGGCGAACCCCTGGCAATCTTCTGAGAGATGAAGCAACCTCGAACGTAATCCGATCAAGGATGGGGCCGCGCGAGGGATGGATCAACCTCCGATTGAATTCTACAGGGTGCGGGGCAACCTCTAACATTGACGATTTGAACATCTCCTACAGGAGACGACATATAAAAACAAATACAATAGCGTTTAACTGAAGACAAAGTATCTTTAGTACAAAGACGACAAATATGACATACGTGGCGATAAAATAACAGGCTGTGCCCCAGGGGTTTCAAAATAACGCTCGGTGTACATCGTTGGCCCGAGTGCTGAGATTCGCCGCAAGGAGAATACCAAATGCGACACCGCGGCAACATAATTCCAATGAGCTGGGGACCTCACCGTGATGTCACTTAACCACTGCACAAGCACACAAAATGACTGGATGGCGACAGCATTGAAGCGGGCAGGAATGGCGGGAGAAAAAGCGGCGGGGAACGATGGCGAAGAGAATGGCGCATGGGGCCAGGAGGAGGAGGAGGAGGAGGAAGAGCAGGAGGAGGAGGCGGAGGAGGAGGAGAGGAGGAGGAGGAGAGGAGGAGGAGGAGGAGGAGGAGGAGGAGGAGTAGGAGGAGGAGGAGGAGCAGGAGGAGAGAGGAGGAGGAGGAGAGAGGAGGAGGAAGGGAGGGAGGGAGGGAGGGGGAGGGAGGGGGAGGGGGGAGGGAGGGAGGGAGGTAGGGGGGGAGGGAGGGAGGGAGGTAGGGAGGGAGGGAGGGAGGAGGAGGGGGATGTGGACGAGGCCAGCCCCCGTCCAATCCCAATGTCCTCCTCCTCCTCCTCCTCCTCCTCCTCCTCCTCCTCCTCCTCCTCCTCCTCCTCCCCTCTCTCCTCCTCCACGCTCCTGCCCCTGATCAGGCGCGCCGTGCGACCTGGCCAGTCTTGGCGCCCTTGGCCCAGGTCGAGCAGATGCGGGCTTGTCGAAACCTGAGCGTTCGATCAATCGGCGACCTGGCCCAGCGCTCGGGAGATGTGCCCAATGCCGAGGAGAACGAGGAGGCACAAGATGGCGCAACGGAAGGATTGCGGCCACAGCCAGAGAGGTGAGGGAGGCGTGGGCACGGGGCGCAAGAGCGCGGAGCCAAGTCGCCTGCCCCCCCAAAAAAACGCGATGTGAACATATCGCGTGCTGCGTATCGAATTCGCAGCACGCTTCACGCAGCCCTCGCACGCGAGCAACCGCCAGCACGAGCGATGCCTCATCAGCCTATCCTCATTGTCCCCCTGTCCTCCCACCGATTGCTTTGCCATGGCCGCCCTGTCTCATCCCGCCCCCTCGTCGCCGACCGCATCGGCCCTCCACCACCCCCGCCAAACCTCCGTCCTACACCCCTCTCCCCCGTGGGCGGTCCCTACCCAAAGCTGGCATCAACGTTCACGCGGCATCACCTATGACCTGTTGGCGATGACGCTCTTCAGCGCAAGGGCCAAGGTCAAGTTCATATCCTTGGCAGCGCCCTGGTAGGCCCTGAACGCTTTCATCTCGCTGACCACTGCAACCCGCATCGCATCAGGATCGTTGGCATTGACGTCGCAATGCATGGCGACTAGGTTCTCCGTGACGGTGGTGCGGGCCTTGAAGCACTCCTTCTGGATATCATGAATGAGGGCGTCGTCGGCGGGCTCCGACATGAAGCCGCACGCTTTCTTGTAGGCGCCCAAGGAGCGCTCCACGTCGTCGACCTTGGTCTTAATCGCAGCGAAGCTGACGCCCTTGGTGACACCCTTCATGTGGGAAATGATTTTCTTCATGTCAGCGTCCTTGGGCAGCCCTTCGCTCCAGTGCTTGCCGTTCGCGGTGCCGTCGCTGATCTGCTGGAGCTCGGTGAACACCTGGACGAGCGCCGCCTTCGACATGTCCCTGTTAGCCGCACCGCTGCTGGAGATCCAGGCGTCCGCAGTGTCGACCAGCTTGACGATGTTATCGAGGTACGCCATCGGCAGCCCCGCGGGGTATGGCCCGCCTTTCGGGACCAAGGCCTTCGCCTGCTTCACGCGCAGCTCCAACACGCGCGAGTGCTCTGCCCAGGCAGCCGTGGCGACGAAGCCCTCCGTCTTGCTGAACGTCTCGGCGGCGGCCAGCGCTGAGCCCAACACGACGCCAGCTTTAATCACGTTGATGCACGTCTGGATGGCGGCGTCACTGTTCCCCTGAGCAGCGTGCAGCTTCTCCAGGCATAGCAAGTACTCGGGCGAGTGCTCGCCCGCGGAATCCGTGGCCAGCTCGACCACGAGACCCAACATGGCAGCCTCGACGAACGGCCAGTCAGGGTTACCAGTCTTCTTCAGCTTCCCCGACTGGTAGTTCTGGCAGATCCTGAGCAACTTCCGCACACTCTCCAACGAGTTGTCCTTGAACGTCGGGTCGTTTACAACAGCACCAGGGTCGGCCGACTGAAGCAGGTCCTTACACGCGTTCGTCAAGTTCTCCTGGCTGGTCGCCGCCTCCAGGTTGCCCAAAAACGTGGCCACATGCGAGCTCGCTGCGTTGACATTAGCGTCCAGGGCGAAGGACAAAGACGCCTCCTGGGCCAAATTCGAAACCTGCTTCACCCTGTCTGCGGCGACCAAATGCGGGGAGGCGTCGCTCGTCAAGTTCAGGCAGATCGAGCAGATGAGCTCCTTCAGCAACGACTCGAAGTCGTTGGTCATGCCAGCTGGGAAGCCGAGCCTCCACGTCACGCACTTGCCGCAGTAGTCGCGCAAAACGGCGAGGTCAATCACGGCGTCGTCAGTCTCAGCCTCAGGGGGGAGAGCACCGCGGCAGCAGGAGGGATGGGGAAGTTAACCAACGGGGGGGAAGCGTTGAGTGCGGGGCGAGAAGGGCTCCAAGTGCGCGGGGGGGGAGGGGCGGGGGGCTAGGGGTAGAGTACGGTAGCCGAGTAATAAGGCAAGGTGCCTCCACCCCGTACCCCGAAGTTAAACGACTGCGGCGGTGGAGGATGGGGCGATGTGGCATTGCTGCGTGAGGTGCAATGGGAGGGCAGGGGAAATATGAGTGAACATCAGAATCCCCCCGAGCCCCGCGCCTTCGCCTTCAGCACCGCCCCGCGAGCAATGCGGAACGCCCTGCAAGTTCTCCCGCAAGAACGGCACTTTGTTGCTGAACGCTTCGACCCTGCTAGACCAGAACGGCGTCCTCTTCGTCACCGCCCCTACGAAGTGCAAAACCGACGAGCCCGAGGAACTCATCGCCTTCACGAAGCGGGAGATGGAGCCGTAAGCATCCTCACTTACGTCGGTGATGGGCTCATCGCTCATGGCAGTGGCCCACACGCGGCTCACGTCCTGGATGTCCGTGATAAGCCCCGCGAGAACCCCCCCGACGTCGAGCAAGTCAATCTGCTCGAACTCCTTGGCCAAGTCTTGGATGACGCCGCGCGCGAAAGACTCCTGCGAGGGGCCCTTGGCGATGGCGTTGCAAACGGCGTTCTTCAGGACCGTGTCTGTGAATGCCTGCGCGCGCTCGTCCTCGTCGTCGACAGCGCTGGCCAACGTGGGGTCATCTGGGATGAAGGGGCCATCGGTCTTCCGAATGGGCGTCATGATGCGGATGTAGAAGGGGGCGTGAGCGTGAGCGTCAAAGCTCTGCAGCCTAGCGGTCACCAGGGCGTTCTTCGTGCCTCTGGGGAACGTGGCCCCTGCATGGGTCATGACCTTCACGCTCTCCACGATCTGGTCCCAAGAGTACCCGAACATGTTGCTGGGCTGCAACTTCTTGGCGACAACGATCTCGTCGGAGAACTGCGTCAAGATAGCCCCGTCGGCCTGGGTGGCTGGCGACGCGTTGAGGCGGGCGATCTTTTTGAGCAAGGCGGCGATGGTACGCCCGTCCACTGCGTCGTCCATGACGTCCGCCAGGGGGATGCGAACCTTCCACTTGGCCAGCAAGTCATTCCCCGTCATCGCGTCGTCCTGGTCATCGCCCGCAACGGTGGTGCCGCCCCACTGGCTGGGCGCAACCTGCGGGCTCGCAGGAGCAGTGTCGGCATCATCCATCAAGAAGTCATCGCAAGACTGCTTGCCAGACATGCGCCGCCTGCCGCAGGACTGGGGGCTGAAAGCTGCGGCTCCGATCATCCGCGGCCTCTGTGGGGACGTCGCGGCTGGCGAAGGCTGAGGCTTCGCAGCCGCAGAGGATGACTCCAAGAACGAGTCGTAAGTCGGCAGCGTGCCGTTGCCAAGCTTGCTGAGGAGCGTATGGATGCCGCTGTTCTCCATGCCCACCGCCGCGCAACGCGCGAGCGCCTCCTCGCCCTGGGCAGCGAAGAGCTGGTTGTCGGCCGCCAACACCTTACCATTCATGGACCACTCGCGGATGACCTGAATCTCGGCCGTACGTGGAGCGTCCCCCCCACCTTCGGGCTGAAAGAGGTAAAGCGTCTCATCTCCTTTCCCAGACTCCATCGGCATCGTCACCACCGCCGTCGTGTCGCTGATCCGCTTGGGGATGCGCTCCACGTGAAGGTCTGACCTCACGGTGGCCGCGGAGGTGACCACGACGGGGCGCTTGAGCACCAAGCGAATGCGAGTATTCTCCACGACGTCGGCTGCCTGGAAGTTCTGTTTCCCTGACGAGAGGGTCACCGACGCCTGAGACAAACGGTCCTCGAGGGGCTGATCCGTCTGGGCAGCGTCCACCACCGAGCGAAACGCCTGGCCAGGTGCCACGGCGACCACTGCCTTGTAGCACCGCTGGCAAGCCTCGCCGCACGCGACCTTGGCCTGATTCTGCCCAGCATCCCTGTACAGTGCCCACTCGGAGCCAGCCTGAGGGCGCATCTACATACATGCGAATCTGACACAGGAGGGGTCGCGACGAAAACTTCCAGAACCAGAATGTAACTCATTACCAAAACACTGTTTGACGTAATGCTTGATTTTCCGTTTTGAACTCCCATGGGCGCATCGCAATACTTGTTTAGCGAGGCCCCGTGGGGCCCTAACTTTCGCCAGCCCAGAGACCGAACCACTCTCCACCTCATAATCTCACACGTGCCCACCACCTCCCTCTACCAACCCTGTCGGCCCCCTGCCAGCGTGCACAACCTACCCTCACCCCGCCCACTGAACACGCTCACACAACGTGGGAATCAAGGATGCTGATTTGAACGCCCGCGGAACTGGGGTAGCCCCGCAACGGTGGCACGTCGTGGCGTCCTCCGTGCTCAGGCCAGCAGCCTTAGCAGCCTCTGCGGCCGTTGCCATCTGATGCTTAGTGCGGCGGGGCCTCTTGGGAGGTGGTTTGCCCCCCGCCGGCGGCGTGGGGCCTGACTCCGAAACCGCGGCCAACGCCTTCTGCTGTGGCGTGCGAGCGGCCGCCCCCCGCTTGCCCATCGCTCTGTCGCGGGCAGGCGGGGGTTGGGCTCGTGCCGTGAAGACGGCAAAAAGCGCCAACGAAAGCTTGACACAGAACGGCGATCATTACAATGTCGTGAGCCAGGGGTGGCATGGCATCTCGCCGTGGACCGCCACCCCCTCTCCCCCGCCCCCCCATTCAACATGGGCCGCTGGCGGCCCGCCCTCGAGGTCTCCTGTCTGCAAGGAAAGGAAGCGGCATTACATCTGGGCGCCGCCGAAACCTAACTCGCCTTTTATGGCATGAGCCGCTTCGAGAGAGGGTCGATCCAATCCCGAACGCCCCCAGCGTGGAGGGTGAGACCCCCACCCCCCCCCGCCCCCCGTGGGTCTGGGCGGGGGCGGGGGGCGGCGGGGGCCAAGAGGCCCCTGTGCGTTCTCGAACACCAATGATGAGTCCGAGATTGCCTACTACAGATCAGATGACATCCACTATGGCGCGAGGTATCGCTGCACCACCCTGGGCAACTTCCGACGCGCCCCGAGGCGGTCCAAGACACCGCCTAAGAGGGCCTGAAGGCAGCCCAAGACGGCCCCGAGACAGCCTCAAGACCGCCCAAGAGAGCCCCAATACGGCCCAACAAGCCCCCAGGACGGCCCAAGAGAGCCCCAAGAAGGTCACAGGGGAGGTGGATTAATCCGACCTGGGTTAATCCACCTCCCCTGGCATCGCGTGACAGGCCTAAGATATCTCCAGGAGCGGCCTCAGAGGCCCCAAAGACAGCCCAAAGAAAGCCCAAGAAGGCCGCAACACGGCCCAAGGAGAGCTCCTAGACAGCCAGAGAAACGCCCAAGACGGCTCAAGAGCGCCCCAAGAGAGTCCCAAGGGAGGTGGATTAATCCGACCTGGAAAAATCCACCTCCCTCGGCATCGCGTGCAAGCCCAAGAAATCTCCAGGAGTGGCCCCAAAGGCCCCAAAGACAACCCAAGGAAGGCCCAAGAGGGCCGCAACACGGCCCAAGAGAGCCACAAGACAGCCCGAGAAGCGCCCAAGACGGCCCAAGAACGCGCCAGGAGGGTCCCAAGGGAGGTGGGATAACCCGACATGGATTAATCCACCTCCCCTGGCATCGAGTGATTGGACGAAGACATCTCCAGGGGCGGCCCCAAAGGCTCCAAAGACAACCCAGAGAGGGCCCAAGAAGGCCGCAACGCTGCCAAAGAGAGCCCCAAACAGACAGCACGAGAAGCGCCCAAGACAACCCAAGAGCGACCCAAGAGGGTCCCAGGGGAGGTGGATTAATCCGACCTGGATTAATCCACCTCCCCTGGCACCGAGCGGCATGAAAACATATCCAGGAGTGGCCCAAGACGGCCCAAGAGGCCCCAAAGAAACTTGAATGAGGGCACAAGTGGGCCACAAGACGGCCCACGAACGCCCGAACGATGACGTAATAATCTCTAAACACCAAGGCTCCCGAAGCGCGAGCGGTGACGTAAACAATTCTCGACATCAAGCCGATTGCGCGTGCCCCCACCGCAGCGGCAGCACCAGCAGCACCGCCATCGACACCAGCACCAGCAGCAGCACTACAAACACTGCGACGCGTGAGGTATTCAAAATATAAATGCCCCCAAGATAAGTGCAATATGTTGTTCAACTGTGTTCCGCCAATGGCGATGACATGACGGCGAACGGTTTGGGTAACCATACTAGTGTAAACGAAAATCTCCAGGGCCACCAAAAACACACCAATTCATATGTTGGTCATGTTGGTTTCTGAGAAAGCTATGCGTTCTGCAATATGGAACGAAACAGCCACACATCGATGGGCACCACACTTGATCAAATGAAACTTCAGAATTGGGGAGTGGCTATTCGACTACATTGACATCTTGTGAGGCCCTCATTGGGTCATCGAGAAAACTGCCTTGCAATGGGCGCCCTGGGCGGACATCCTTGGCCGCGAGACTCTCTCTCTCTCTCTCTATCCCTCCTTCTCTCTCTCAGTTTCTCTCTCTCTCTCTCTCTCTCTCGTTTTCTCTCTCTCTCTCTCTCTCTCTCTCTCTCTCTCTCTCTCTCTCTCTCCCTCTCCCTCCTCGGGCGTATCGGGGCCTGAAGCACCTGGCACATTCTCCTCCTCGTCCTTCCTCCTTCCTCCTCGCCCGTCCTTCTACCCTCCTCAACCCATCCCTTCCTGCTTTCCTCCGCATCCTCCTCCCCCCTCCCCCCTTCCTTCCCCTCCCTCCTCTCCCCCCTCCTCCTGGCTGCCTGATTGGTGATTGGGTGGCGGAGACAGCGGAGCTGGGGCGGCGGAGACAGCGGGAGCTGCGCTGCTGTCGAGGAGGAGAAGGAGAGGAGGTGGGCGGTTTGCGTTTGTCCACAGGCCCCAGGGTCCTGCGCCGCTCGTCGCCTCGGCTGGATTCGCCTTCGGAATTCTCGGAACGCCAGGGAAAAAAAGGAAGGCGAGGCCTCACCGCCGCGAGGCCCCCTGGGCGCAATGCCCTTAGCCCAAGACGGGGGGCCTCCTCCTGGGGGCCGCCCTTGACTTCCAGTCGGATGGCAAGGAAGCCCCCCCCCTCCGCCCACCTTCCGCTAGGAAGATGGATGGAGGAGACGGAGTGGGGCGAGGTCCTACTGGCGGCAGAGGCCCATTGCCGATCGGGCCGCGGGGGGGGGGGGCGCGCATAATGCGCCCAAATAGCAGCCTTTTCCGCCCCGCGAGGGGGGGAGAAGGGCTGCTAACTACCACGACCCCCGCGGCAGTCGGCACAGGGCTTCCCATACGCCTTGACCTCCTACGGCGCCCGAGGAGGAGGAGGGGGGAGGGGAGACCCAGCACGGCCCTGGAGACGCCGCCCAAGACGACCAGACGCCAGACGACCCTCCAAGAAGGCCCCCAAACGACACCCAGATCCCCATAAGGAAAACCAAGACAACCTAAAGGAGACTGGGGCCAGGAAGCCCAGGGCCCCAGATCCCCTGAAGGAGGCCCAATACACCCTAACGGACGCCCAAGATCCCCTACAGGAAGCCCAAGGACCCCTAAATGAAACCCAAGATGCCCGAAAGAAGACACTATGATCACATGAGGAGCCCCCAGGTCCAAGATATATGCCAAGGCTTCCTAGGAAGCTCAAGCCCTGAGATGCCCCAGGACACCCGCGCGTCCAGGGCCTAAGATCCCCTAGGATGCCCATTAGCCCCAGAGGCCGAGGGCCCAAGAGCCCGAGGGCCCAAGCATCCCAAGAGCCCAAGACCCAAAACCGCTTAGAACGCCCAAGGTCCCCAAGGACGCCCAACGCCCAAGAGTCCAAGGCCCCAAGAGCCCCTAAGCGGGAAGCGGGAATCCCAAGACGGCGCGCGGCAATGGTTCGCCGCAGGCGTCTTTGAATTTGCACGCAAAGGGGAAACGGGCGGGGCATGAGCGAACAGGCGGAGGGGCAGAGGAGCGCTTCAATGAAGGTCGATCGCTAGGTGAGGGAACTGGATGGGGATCACGCCAGCCCTTCTATGGCACGAGTTGGCCTGGAGGCAGGCTGGATGCGGGGCGTGACCAATGTGACCCAGGTGCGAGAGATACGTGCATTTCGCCGTACACCGAGCAATCAACATGGACGAGAGGGCGGGCCAAAAGAAGCTGCTGGCGCGCCGCCTGCGCCAACGCCCAGGCAATCAAAAAACGCGCACTGTGCCCTGTGCCCAGACCACGGTCGGAGCCAGAGCGTGCCTGAGAGCTACTGCGTGCGGTATCGTCGCCCCACCGATGCCACCATCATCATCGCCATCGTCATCAACATCGCCATCATCGTCATCGCCATCGCCATCACGTCGCCATCGTCATCATCATCGCCCTCCGCTCCTCCCCGCATCACTCCCCTGACAAGCCGCGAGCCTGCTCTGCCGAAAAAGGCCGGCCTCGGCGCTCAGCCACGGCCGCGGCCAACTGCCGCAGAATCTGGCGCGGCGAGGGCCTCTGCTGAGAGCTTGGACAGGCGCTGGAGGCGACCGAGGGTAGTTGCCGACGTGATGGAAGCAGAATCCTTCCGCTTCTTACCCTTCTCCTTGTTTTTCGCATTGGCGACCAAATGGTGTTTCTTTTCCTCGACCGCTCTCCATGGCTGGATCACCATCGACTGGAGCATCTTGATGTCTTTCTTGTCTTCGATCACCTCCTCCTGCAGTGTTTTCATCGCCCGCTGGAGGTACTCCCTCGAAAAAGCTTCGGGGTTCCCATAGAGCATCCTGCGGCTCTGGCGCGGCAAATAATTGGCGGGCCCGATCGCCGAGCCTGATGCGCCTCTCAGGCGCGGAGCGGTTGTCTGAGATATTGTCGACTGATCTCTGAACAGCTGCTTGGGCCGAAGCAGCAGAGGACACGCCGCAGCCGACCGTGCAGCCTCGAGGTCCCAAGAGGCTCTGTCAGGAGGGCCTAAGAGGCTCTTTCAGGAGGGCCCAAGAGGCTCTGTG